TGGTTGAGAATGACCAAGCTAAGATCCTGTGGGACTTCCAGATACAAACTGACAAACTGGTAATGGCCAACCAACCGGACATAGTAGTGGTGGAAAAACAGAAGAAGAAGGCCGTAGTGATAGATGTAGCAATCCCAAGCAATAGCAACATCAGGAAGAAGGAACATGAGACGCTCGAGAAATACCAAGGGCTGAAAGAAGAGCTAGAAAAGATGTGGAAGGTGAAGGCACAAGTGTCCCCGTGGTAATAGGAACATTGGGGGCTGTGACCATATACTGCCTGGCCAAATCCATAACACACACAGGCAATGGACAAAGATGCTATCAAAATAATCTACCAATAAACACTGAACAGTCTGCTGACAACTAAATATTTTTCTGGAAAAAAAAAAACATAACTTGCAAATAAAGTTTTAACATAAACTGCAAACAAATAAACAATACATTTCTCCCAAACACCCCCCTCTCTTGTATTGGCCACTTGGTGCAGTCCAGGTCTAGTGGGAGGTATTTAAACCTGCTGTTGCCTCAGTCCAATCTTTTTTGTCAGAGCCAATGGACCAGGAACACGGTAACTCAAAAGAAAAATTTACACACATTAACACTACAAAATTTACCAAATGTGCATGCTTCATTGATTAATTATGTATATCTAATGGCAAAATCAAATACCAATCCTCTACCTACAACTTAAAGCTACACACGAACAAAGAAAACAAAAGATTACCTACCCAACCAATTCTACTACATCTTGAAGCAATGATGTGTTAAAGTACCATCTTTTATGGGGTTTAATAGGGATTTGAATATTTAATTTGAGCGAAATAAGAGCGTGGTCACTGATTATGATTGAGTGAATTGTGGTTTCTGTCACATGTTGGGTTAGTGAATTATCAGAAAAAGGTTGATTCGCGATAAAGGCTGATGGAGGGAAGAAAAATATGTGTATTCTCTAGATGAATGATTATTCATTCTCCAACTATCGCAAAGACCGTAATAATTCATATATTGCTTTATAACTTCTGTAGAATGCCAATTTCTTGTGTTGGTGGAAGAGTTGGATCGATCAAGTAACATGTAGTATATTCTGAAGAGGGGAGATATAAGGGGGGGAGGGAACAATAAAGAGTAAATAATAAACAGTGTAGAGTTGGTGTGTGTGTGAATGTGGGCATGTTGGTGTTTGTTAGTTGAGGGCGACTGAAGATAAAACTGTCAAATGGAAAATAGGAGGTAAAAAGAAAAGCGGACAAATACAGATGCAAACAAGCATGGTACAAAAGACAAGGTAACGAGGGAGGCCAGGAATGTTTGTAGGAGGGCGTGTGAATTTTTATGTGTGTGTATTTCTGTGGCGAGAATGCTGGTCAGGTATCATTTAATATACGACTCAACAGTCACTGGTTGTTAGATGTAATGTGGGAGATCATACTGTACATAGTTATGTTCAGGAAGCACCAGCTAATCAATCATTTGTCACATTTTAAGGCCTTCTCCACACTGCCATTCAAGAACATCTTGACAGCAGATCAAAAAGCAGTGCTTTGCTGCCCTCTTTGGAGATGTGATGAACTGTGCTTAGTTGCACCTGTAACCCCACCTAGCAATGATGTCACTGTGCCCTGGAATGCACTTATCAAGGTGATATGTTAAGCCAGTGCAGCTTCTCAGGGAGTGTTAATAAAATTGTGGAGAAATCCCAGAACTGGCCTAAATAAATGTTTTTAAGCTGTAGAATGTAAAGTACCCCAGGGCTACTGAAACAAGAGGACGGGACGTCGATGGTGGTAGATATGTCCCTGTGTATAATTTCAGTCACTTTAAGTAGTGCTGGACACAACGACACCATGCTGCATGTGCAACAAATTAAATGTCTGTTTTTTTTTTTTGTTTTTGTTTTTTTTTGTCCAGGGTTTTGAGGGGACGCTGGTTTGGGAGAGTCTAGACGCTGCTGGATTGACCACAGTCAACTCCACCTCTGTGCAGCTCAATGGTGGAGGAGGCGTCATCGAGTTCTCCTCCGTGTGTACTGACATGGCATCAGACATTCATATATAAAAAAATATTCTCAAGCTTTAAAGTGAAGGAAAAGTTCAAGAGGTTAAAACTTTTTTTTGCTCTTTTCTTGGAATTGCAGATTGCAGAGGGCTTATTGCCTCATAGAAGTGCTCTTGGATTTCCCGGTTTGGCTGGAGGGTTCACATTTACTATCTACGGTCAGTCCAGCAGCAGAATTAATTCTGAGCTTTTTATGAAAACCGTTCGATCAGAATCACTGTGAGCCAGCTGTTTTAAAAGGAGTGTCTGTGTAAAACTTCAGAAACATTGTTCTTTCTGGCAGGTTATGAGATTAGCTCCTTGTTCGCCTCAGGGCTCTTGCATTGCATGCCAAATGGGAAATAACATTTTTCCCCCATCTCTCCCCTGTTGTTTTAGATTATTGATTTTACCTCCTCAGTGTGTTTGCATTTGAGTTTATCTGAAAATGGACTGTAGCCATTTTGGGGGAAAACAAAGTTAAATTCACCATTCAATATCTCTGAAAACAGAACTAATGATCCACTGTAAAATAGCACAGTTTTTTAAAATTGTTTGCCAGTTAGTGGTTTCAGTTATTATCCCTCAAACTGGCCTTCATTTATTCAAAGTCCGAGTGAATAAAAAGATAATGTGCCTTTTTTTTTAAACAATCTCATTTTGTGCCAATATTCTATCACCATTTTCTCCAGTTTATCTAGTTCTCTATTTCTTTGTCATTATCCCCATCATGTACCTCTCTGTGCCCACCTCCCACCACTTTGCTGTCAGATGGAGATGGCCTGTTGGGGCTCCTGCAGGGCCGCCCGGCCAGGATGAAGCACCATACCTCCAGGCTGAGGCAGGAGGACGAGGCCTTGCAGCAGGAGAGCCTGAGGCACGGCGACATGGTGTTCGTAGACGTGGTAGATACCTACAGGAATGTGCCTTCCAAACTGCTTCAGTTCTATAAATGGTATGCCAAGTGCTAATGACTCATTTCTTTGTCTCCAAATTGCCTGGGTCCTCAGAGGAAATCAGCAACCTGAAATGAAAGCGTGTTGTCGCCTCAAAATGTCTTTCTATTGGAGTCACAATTGCAATCACACAGTCAGGGAAAAAATACAGTCGTGAGTCATCAAGTAGTAAAATATACAGAATGGTCTTAAGCCTTAAGTTTTATTTATTTGCAGGACCTCTGGCCCTTGACTCTCAGTGGTATTTCAGAGCAAGTCCGCTTTGGAATATAGCAAAAATTAGGAGGTGGACTTTAATTAATGTTGGAAATTCCCTGTCTGGCAGGTCTGTGGGAAACGCTGACTTTAATCTTCTGCTGAAGACGGACGATGATTGTTACATCGATGTGGACTCAGTATTAATGAAGATTGACCATAAGGGTCTCAAGCGCAGCAATTTCTGGTGGGGGAAGTAAGTAGCTTTAGGTGTTTGATCCTGTTTTATATTCTAATTTGAATTTTGTTTGTGATTTTAGTCCACTTGAGTTTGCGGCTCCAGTGCACCGTCAGAACCGAACTTTAGATGACTGGAGCAGAAGTGCTCTGCACAGCTAAAGTGATGATGGGCGGGTGAGACGGGAGGTGATGATAACCTATCTGCCGTCCTGACCCAGTTTCAGGCAGAGCTGGGCAGTGGATCGCATTGGGAAGTGGCAGGAGCTGGAGTACCCCAGTCCAGCCTACCCGGCGTTCGCCTGTGGCTCAGGCTACGTGGTCTCACGTGACCTGGTGCAGTGGCTCGCCAGTAATGCGGAGAAGCTCAAGGCCTACCAGGTGGAGTACAAAGCACCAAGCAACTGTGGTGAAATAGCAGGTTGATATTTGAGAATATAATTTAGGCAATCTGTCCTGGATATCTTGTTACAGGGAGAAGATGTGAGCATGGGGATATGGATGGCAGCTGTTGGACCACAGAAATATCAGGTGAACGAGGAAAAATAGCTTGAATGACATCCACATCTGCCAGTTCCAGTGAAACAACATGATCACAAATGATTTGGTTTGTTTCACTGACAACATACTGATCTAATATGTCACCATCTGCGGTGTTTTCACAGTCCACCGAACCTTTATCAAGATGAAACAAGCATTTAATATCTGTCATAAAGAAATATTAGAAAATAAGAACTAAAAAAAGTAGAAAATGTAGTCTGTTTATTTCTTTTCAGGAAGCAGAATGTTACAAAAAAAGTATGTTAAGAAGGCAAATCTTGAAGTTTTGCAATATTAGAATCTTAATTATTCTAGCAGTTTGACTTTTGTTTGAGACATGTTCCGTCTCAGCTTGAACAATCCACCGAAGGCCTGCTCGGTTCAGTGTCCCCTGGGTTATAAATCAAACTTTGGTTGTATAGCACCTTTTATTCAAGTGCATTACAAGTGAAAGAAGCTAAGAAGATTAATGGGGACAGTAGGAAGATAAGCAGTACAACAGTGGGACATGACCATACGTTATGATAAGAATCACTGGTACTTAATTTAAGTGAGTTTAATTTAAAATGAAAATATACAATATAAAATATAAACATGAAATGTCAAATGTTGCTTTTGGCTGAAACGTGTACATATTGATTTCCACAAAAAACACAGCAGCAAGTAGGACTGAACTTTGTCATTATTTTTCACCTCTCTGTAATTTATTGTTTCATTTTGTCACTAACCTTTTATACTTTCTACAGAACTGCATTCTATAGTTTGCCTTACAGCTGTGAACATATGAACAGTTTACATTTGTAATATACAAAAAACATTCTACAGTAGCCTTTTAGCACACTCGTATTTCCTCTGTGCATTTTACTGTACATATTATTTGAGCATGTAGCAAAAAAAACCCTTGTATTCAGATATTTTCCGGTGGAGTCGGTGTTAAAGCTGCCACAGTTCAACAGGATTGTTTTGGATTAGTCTCAGACGCATGGAGCTCAGCCCATCACAGGTGCATGTTAACAATTTAACCCGAGCCAGTGTATGACTAATAACCACATCGGTGTGAGCATGTTAATAATGCCACGGTCATGTCCCCTTTGCTGTCACCAGGACCCCGGCTGGCTGTGTGAGAAAGAGGGTTACCTGGACATGCTGTCGTCCCCCCAGCACACAGCCGAGGAGCTGCACATCCTCTGGGACAGAAAGAGGGCCTGTGGAGACCCCTGCGGTTGTCCCTGGGGCCACTAATGACCTGGATCACACCACACTCACTACGTGACACTCTGGGTAACGTGCACTCAACACTGGTTGTCCGTTCTAATTGTGGGATTTCTTTAAAACCCTAAAGAGTTTTATCAGATACTATGATAGATTTTTTGTTGGAAAACATTCCTAAGATTTTATTGCAGATTCTTAATTTTAACAAAACACTGTACCAACATGATAAAACATTTGCAGCTTCAGAGTAGCAGTAGCATATTTCTCTAGTGGAAGAGACAATGTGGAAAAAGACTGGACTAAAATATGCTGTGGTACTGTGATAACTGACAGGTAAGGACCCACATGCTGTCATCATGTACAGAATCACTGCTGTAAGTTACTTTGTAATAATATTATCGGTATTCAAATACTTGACAGACTTAGACCTTTTGATTTAAAAGGGATATCCGGTGGTGTTTTAAAGATGACTGCTTTTCATTGTTATAGTTTATAAATTATTGTCTGAAGCTTTTCATCATCTTCGCTGTTTGTTTCACGACAAGTGTTCTCACAAACAGACAGTTTGTACTGTAACTGTCATTGTGCAAATAGTGATGTGGCCTTACTGTGTTTGTTAGGCATTATACTGTGTGTACACTTGTGAAATCAACACAGACTGAAACCTTGGGAACTCAACAATGCAGTCAGATTGACTGCAACAGAGGTTTAACACTGGTTCTATGAAACCCTCCTACAGGTAATAAAGAACACGCCAGAGATGAATAACTTCCTTGTTGTTTATTTTGGGGATGGTGCACACGGTAAATCCGTGTTGGATCTTTGTTGAGTGTGAAGCTTTGTTCTTGCTGTTGCTGCTCAGAGAAACAGAGCAAACACTCTTTGCTCAGGCTGTTTATAGAAATCAGGTATTTCATCTTAAAAAGGAATGTGAAAACACTGTTTTCTTGAGACACTGAGCTGGACGCTGCTGGAATGATGAACAGGGAAACCTCTGGAGTGGCTTCATGTTAATCAATAGGGCTGGACACATCCAGCCATCAGCTAGTACACAAAGACTTTTAAAATGTAGCAAACATGGTAAATGAGCCTTCTCTGAGCATATGCTTTTAGTTGCTGCAGTGGTGTTTGTTGTTTGAGTATAGCCATGTGATTGATGTTGAGTCACTAGGATTAGATTGCCTTGCTGCCTATTTTTGAAAATAATGAAATACAATGCTGAATATTTTACTAATGTAGGATGATTCAAGTCATTTGTTTTATTTAGGCCTGTCCTAGCTGCCAAGAAACCTATTCCTGCAATTAACCTGAGATCTGAGCACACATTCCTCTTCCTATGAAGCCCTCCTCCTCTACATCTTATCCTTTCACCTCCTCTTTTTCAGTGAGCTGCATGCTAACAAAGTCATATCCGCATCTGTTCCACTCTTTTGCATAGATAAGGACAGCATTTTTCACCCCATCAGCCTTTCTCACTGATTTGGCTTGAAGCCCTTCATTGTTAACCGAGAGAGGCGTGGAAATAACATGCAGGCAAAAAAAGGGCTCATTTCTCATTTCTGCTCTAGTGCTTCTTTAGAGGATGAAGTTTATTGAATTTGTCTAAACTTTGATTAGCACTGTAGGGATATTGTCACTCGCTGATATCAAAGGTTTAAGTTATTAGCATTTTATTTCCAGAGATGTGCTCTAAATCTTCTGCCTTCTTTTATTCAAGCCATGTTCTCTCATACATAGTATTCCAACCAGGCGACAACTTGAGACAAATTGCACCATGTTTACCTACAAACTGCAGTTTTGTATTACATTATGAGCCTTCTTAAACTTCTCCCTCTTAATAATTTAACTGCTCACTCTTTTTACTGTCAAACGTCCCCTTAGTCCTGCCAGTATACACTTTATAAAATAACATAATTCACTGTGCGGACACACCTGTTTTGCTGAGATCTGCTTCATGTTTGGAGGGGAAAAAAGACCTATGTACTGGCAAGAGTTAGCTGGTGTGAAATGATGTTGTGTCAAGGGGAGCACTACTCAGAAATTCCTTTGTTCTCAGTGATCAATATCTGCAAACATGAAGTCGCTCGCAAAGCTAAAGAAGCAGAACAGGGCATGAAGAAAATATCCCAGCTCATCTTACTGACCCAGAATATCTGATTCATTCAAATGTTTGATATAAATAGACCCCACGCGGTTTGAATCATCTATGCCCTTAAGCGTCGGTAATCTTTTCTAAGCAACGACAAGAGTACAATTCCCTGAACCACTGACTTATTTTCACTCTATTAATATTTTGCCATGAATGTGCAATCATCCATTCAGCCTGTGACAACCAACAGAGGGAACTTGGACGCTCAAGTTAATTGTATATATGAAACCCTTTTCATCCTGTCTCTCACCTCTTCCCAAAACTCATCATCTTCTTCTGCTGTTTCTGATTGAACACAAGAATGTGTTGACATTACAATTTTGATGTCGGGTTCTGGCAGACACTTAATTTTACTTGTGTTGAAGTATTTTTGCTACCCAGTCAGATGAGATTAAGTAGCCTACCCCTTAATTGACACCACTCACCGTGTTCCAAATGTGTTTATAAAATGATTGTAACCTGAATTTTATTTGACATGACACCTTATATAAAAAGGTATAACTGTTACAATATTGTTTTTTTTTTTTATATACAATGGAATTGCCATTGTTTAGGTTGCTTTGGTCAAGTTTGCATTTGTGATACCACTTTGAGAGGTAAAAAAAGTTGGATGTGTGTTTCTTTTAAATATTCAGAGGTGTCTCTTTATTTTTGTCCTGCCTAGCTAAATACACGAGGGTCTGAATATTAGGAACACCTCTGCATATAATGTAGTCCAGTACAACACCACCTTTAGCTATGACCTCAATTATGAACATACAGTATAATCGAATGTATACACTTATGGCAATTTCATCAACAACTGAAACATTTTGAGCTTCATAAACACAGATGTTAAGGTGGAAGTGTTGCACTGAAGTGCATACAATTGCACAGGTGTACCTAATAAAGTGGTTGGTCAGTGTATATTTGGAATACTAAAAGGACTCATTATGCAGAATGGCACAGTTCACAGTAATGTATCATGCTATAATTATTATTAATGATGTATTATAGTGAATATCACATTTAATGTAGCAGCTGCGAAAAGTGGAGTTAATGTTAAGTATCTTATGTGTTTATAATTCGAAATACTTTACTGATCCCTACAAGCTAAATGGTCTTATACTTGTATAGCGCCTTTCTATGCTTTTACAGCACACTCAAAGCGCTTTCACATTATTCGGCCAGTCACGCATTCGTCGGCCATTCACCCATTCGCACTCTCGCGCATTCACACACCGGTGGAATCACCAGGAGCAACTGGGGGTTCAGTGTCTTGCTCAAGGACACCTCGACATGTTGACTGGACAAGCCGGGAATCGAACTGCTAATCCTCCGGTTAGGAAACGACCCGCTCTATCTACCTCCTGAGCCACAGCCGCCCCCGCTACTCAGTAGTATGTAAAGTCTTATGATTATACTGTCTTCTGTTAACTTAGTTCAGCATCACACCAAGTTGTTTGCCTATTTCATGTTTAGTCGAGCTGAGTTATTTAGTTGATGTGCGTCCTTGCAACTTGTGGTAGGGATTTACTGTTTTAGACCAATAACTATTTAAGTACGTGTCATTAATGTTTTGTTTTAGAGAACAGTGGAAAACATCAGTACATTATGGATACAGTGAAAATGTACCTGTGATCTCAAAGTGAAGACCCCATGATTCAGATCAGGCACAGCTGTCCCAGATCCTACAGAGAGGAGCTTACAGTCTGCTGAGTGGCATGCATCTGCATACTCATTCAAACAACTTCATATTCTTAGACTCTCCTCGTAGAGCATTACACATCGCTGTCAGTCAGCCTTCTCCTCTGTGTACACTAAAAAGAGGGGGAAATCATTTATTCATGACATCCAGCATCAGTATTTCTGACTGATTCTGATTCATAGGAATGAGGGGATATTATTAGACACAGAACGATTCCCTAATGGGGCAACATTTTCATTCCCAATTTGCAGTTGTACTCCCTCTCTCATTTCCATTGCAGCTACGGTGTCCCTGCAGGGTGAGGGTTCTGGCTGTCACTTTTTGCAAACATTTGCAGAACACAGCTGCGAAATGTGACATTTTGGATCACTTAGATGATAACATTTGGTGGAAAGCTAGGTATTGGGCAGTACACAGAGCTACATGTCTTTGACAAAGTTAGTGGATCATGGAGTTTCATAAGCCCATTCGACCCGTGCTGCAGTAATATGGCAGATTTACTATGATAGTGTTTGCAAAAGATAATTAGCTCAGTCATTACTAAACCATTGCTGACAGTTATTGTCTTAAGAGGATCATAAATTAGCTCATCTGTCTCATGATGAGATTGTTCGAACTACTTAATCATTTGGTGTAACCTGATGCAACACTGGAAATGTCATGATGTCAGCAAAGTGAATGGAGTTGTCCTCAGTTCAGCTTTAAAGAGCCTTCATATGCACTGCCATTACTGTGCAAAAGCTCGGAAAAAATGTACATAAAATGAAAATATTACTGTTCTTCATCCCTTTTGATTACACTCATAACCCTGGTCTCATTTGAAAGGTAACCGTATAAATTTACAGCCAAAAAGTCAAAATGCGTATGTGATCCTGAACCAAAGTTACAGTCACACAAACATGGTAGAAAAGTGTTTGTTTGTTTTTTTTTTATCATATAAAGCCTGTAGTATTAGATATTCAGTGATAAACACTTTGGAGTATCACACATCTATACCACTCTGTCATAGTAGCTGGTGATGGCAATAAATACGAGCTTTCTACATTGACTTCCATTTCTGCCAAAAATATTGTTACAGCAGGCCACTTGATATTTTTGTACAAATGAATATAACAGTCAATTACTCTGTTTAATTCACAAAAATAATGACATTGAATAAACTTTAAAATAAACTGTTTATTGTGTAGCCTTCAAATGAATGACTACAAATCAGTCCAAGGTCCTTTTATACCGACCTTTGCTGTACTCTTTGAACTCGTAATTTTATTGACTACAGAGCTTGTCAATCATTCTGCCAAAGTCCATGACTGGCTATAGATTGAGAAGAAGTCAGGTTGTCCCTCACCAAGTAGTTTGGCTGATTATTAATGACTGACCAATGAGAGCTACGCGTATATAAATGACGTGTTTTATTGATGTGTGAAGCCGAACATGATAATATGGCATTGGTTGGGTATTATTACTACTTATTATTTAATTATTACTATATTATTGGTTGGGCAATGGACAAGACAATGGCCCAAGTAGAAAACAGGAACTAATGAACACTGCTGATCGAAATCACAAATGGGACTACGGTGGTCTGCACATTTTCTCCATGACAGAATGTTTGTTGGTTTAGGTGGATTTTCTTCATTGGAATCTTGTGATACAACTACAGTATGTCCATGCACATCTTGGCTAGAGACCATAGAGAAAGGTAGGGAGCAACTGTTCTGTTGTGTGTGGCGTTTGCTGAAAAATGAAAAACGGCTGTTGCAGTGATATGACTGACCCCAAAATGCTTTACGTAGCTGAGATTGTGAGACTTAGATCTTTCTAATGGTGTTGGATATTGCATGGTGTAGTTGTGTTTGGGAGAGGTGTGGAACAGCGCTCACTGTCACATGGGTGGGACGGTGTGTGGTAACAGGCTTTAAAGGGGAAATGAGACGTTTAGCTACTAATGCACTTGCACAAGGCAAGTTTGGTTAAAAGGAAGCAATATAAAACAAGACTCCTTTGACTTTTTAGTCCCTACAACATCCAAAACACTCCCTTTACAGCTACAGACACTATTTTCCACAGTGCTGAGTAGTAGGCTACTCCCTGTGATAAACAGAAATTCATGTGTACAATTGCTGGAATGTGCCTTTAAACAGTTTAAAGTCAAAGAAGACAGTTTTATGTATGCTACAATGATTGATTGATTGAAGGTAGAAACAAGTGAGAACTTTCTTATTCCACTCAATCCCAATGGGACATGAGGGCACAGTGAGATTTTTTTAGAAACAATTGAGTGCTGGCATAATTATGCATGAGAACATGCTCTGGCAACAGTGATATGAATATGATATTGTAACCACACTGTAAAGTGAAGGAAACCTTTTAGGAACCTTGTGCATCAAGCAATAGGATTGTCAATCATGTACATTTTTAACAAATGTAAAGACCAAACTATCGATGATTTGATCCTACTAAGGACAGTCTCTGTAACTATATTCTGATTTAGCGTATTTGTGCCATAAAGCTCCACTGTTGTATTGAGCCTTTTAACAGCTGTGATATCACTAGACCAAACTGGTGGCTAGAAATAGTCCCCAACAAGTGTTTGTGTTAGAATCCTTTTGCTAAAAGTGGAAAGTCATGCAGTAGTCATGCTAGTGGTTGTCTTAGATTCTTGTTGAGAAATAAAATGTTGTGCCAGCTGTAGTGCAGCTCAGCAGCGGAGGACTGCATTTGTTCTGGTGTAAATGTGTAGATCTGTACATCTGTCAACAATAGTGCACCTGGAAAGTTTGTCAGGAAAGTTTGCTGAAGTAAGCAGCATCTATTTCCATTCTCAGCAATGAGGTTTTCATATTTTTGCTGTTGTCACAGAATATTTATGAAATAACCATTGAAGTGCAACCAAGCATCACGAATGTGTAAAGCGCAGCCCAGTGATAAATAATCCAGAGCTTGCAGAGGATGAAGGAGACCGTGAGTGAGCCATGTCGCTCTTCACACAAAAGCTATTCTGTTTTGCTCTCAAACTGAATTCAGACACTGTGGGCAGAGAAAATCAATCCAGTCAACCTAGAGAGAGGGAGAGAAGAAATGAGAACTGTGAGAGGCTTTGATTATTGTGATGGACTTAAAGTCAGCTCTGCAAAAGCCACTGCATACGTCTCCTATGTTTATCGAATCAGAAATGCATTTGCATCACATTTTCCTGCATTTGAGGCTGCTTGGAAGGAAAATTAGTTGAGGAGCTGGTCCCCTAGATATTCAGCAGTTTGACATTTTGATGAAGGGATGTATTTTCAAAGAAGCCACAATTCAATCTGAAAGAGACATAATTAATTGAATTGCAGCTGTCAAGAGCAAGAGCTTCAGTGAGTCCACAGAGCTGTCTGGGACAGATAGCCTCTGTTCACAGGGCTGTGCTTTTCAGCAGCTGAGGGAAAACAACAGTATTAACAGAAACAGCAGATAACACAGGATTTAGATGACTGGTGGCCTGTATCTCAGGCCAACCTTGCAGCTAAACACCTATTACATCCATAGCAACCACCCTGTGTGAGTATTCAGTCAAGGTTTCTCAAAACAAAGCCCACGGCAGGCAATTCTGTAATAACTCGCATCAGCCTGCTCACCTCGCAGCTAGTGCTGTTCAACATGCAGCTGCAGAAGTATCATTAGCCTTGAGAAATAAACGCATGGATCTGGTGCGACAGGAGAATTCTTATGACTACATTTGCAATGGATAATGATGGCTCAGTGTTTTGTAGTGATGGGGTTGTGTGTTTGTGTAGGGTAAATGTATTGGAGCATAATCCCAAATAAGATGAAGGAATAAGAATGTAACTACTGTAAGGAGCAGAAAGACACAAACAACTTTGTTAGTTACATCTTGATTTTTAATTACAGCTGTGTACTTACTAGATGGCGCTGTTCGTCTCTGGAGAAGGCTCTGTTTTGAACAGGTTCAGTTCAAAACAACTAGTCTTGATACCAAAGGCAGATGTGAGTTCGTTGTAGAAGTCAGACACGTAGACAGGTTATCTTTAATGGTTTTTATTAACTTATGCAAATATGTTTTAACTGCAGCACATTGTGTGCTTACAAATGACTTAATTGCCCTAATAAAAGATTAGAGATGTAAAAAGCTGTGCTGAATCTGAACCAGGAGGAAATACACTCTGCAATAAAGGAAAACAACAGTATTCACATACAACCGAGGATCAACAGTGTGAGCACTACTTTGCATATAATGCCAGCATGTTACATAATGAGTAGATAACTGAGTTGGAGACGTCTTTTTCTACAGGACTGGCACTCTGGTGGCTTAATGATTAAGGATTCCCACATCACACACTTGAGATATAGCCACAGAATAAAAAAAGAAAAAAAATGTATATGCACTGTAACACACACCAAAAGAAAGGCTTATGCGTGCTGCAATCTTATTTTTCATGTTCAGAAAAAAGAAAAAAAAAACCATAAGGTGTTAGTTTCTATTTTAATCCTCCTGCTGACTGCATAGCTACACTTGGACACAAAAACTGAAATTCTTTGAGTAGCAACTGAAGGATACCATGTAGCTCGCCAAAGATAAAGGCAACATTTGGGGCTGCTCTGCCGTCTCACAGCTGATTAATGCGCTCAGAGCTGGTTTACTAGAATTCAAGTTTAATACTAAATATAACATACCAGTACATGTGTTGAGCTTTTCAGGAATGTGTAAATATGCAACAGTGGATTCTAAAGTGTCTTAGTGGAGTGTTCAGGTCAATGGTTTTGACTGGACTGTGACTCCGTACTAGATGCTGCTGCGGCTTCAGCTTCCTGATGCATTTGGCTGAGGTATTTGACCAGGCTCTCCAGCTGAGGGTTTCCCCCAACCTCCCTGATGAGCCGATAGGCCTCCACCTCAAGGTCCCGCAGAGTCTGACGGGTGTAGGCAAATGAGCCTACCTTCTCCAGGTAGTCAACGCAGTATCGTTTGATGTCCATGTTCTCTGTGCGCTGCCTGAGGATGTTCTGCACTTGAGTGCTTTCTGGACGTGACCATATGGCATGAATGGTGGGGAAGGAGAACTTGCCCTCAGTCAGGTCCTCACAGAAGCTCTTGTTTTCACTGTACTCGCAGGAGCTCAGGTTGGCATAGTCGTCGCGGATCTGGAAGAAGAGGCCCAGTGTGTCCAGGAGGGGTTTCAGGTCCTGTTTCCAATCTGAGAAGAGCTGCATCAGACCCACAGCCAGGCCAAAGAGCCCTCCAGTTTTCTGTAGCACCATGTTGCGGTACTCCTGCTCAGTGGGACAAGTGTAAGTGTCCCTCCAGTGGATGTCTTTGCCCTGACCACGATGCAGCTCCAGCAGCTGTTGGGTAAACACCTGGACAGCCTCAGGGTGCTCCAGGGTCAGCACCTTCTCCAGTCCCAAAAAGTAGACGTAGTTGGCTGAATTGATAACTGAGGGAATGCCATAGATGCTGTGAGCCACAGGGAAGCCTCGTCGCAACTTCGAGCTGTCCTCGATGTCATCTATGAGCAAGCTGGCATTGTGCAGCATCTCTGTCACCTCAATGATCACCTGAACATGAAAGAAAAACTGATTAACAAAAATACATAATCTTCCCCATTTTATAGTTATTAATGTACTCTAACTTTCCAGATGTTACAAATATATTAATGCCAAGTAATAAATTAAATGAACCAAACGTCCTCTTCCTGCTCTTGAACTAGCAGAGACAGTAACAGTCTCAGGAGCTCTGTGTACATTATGCACTACAACATGTAAACAGCAGAGGGTGCCATGTCTACACTCATCTGCACTTCTCCACAAGTGAGTCTTCACCAGCAGACAAAATAGTTGATGCTGAAACACACGAGGCCATCAGTCAGAGAAAAATGACTTAAGCAATGACACAACCAGACCAGAGCTGCCTTGTATTCCCATTTTGACAGAACTGCTATCAATTTTATCTACAAAACTCAGATGTCATGCCCGAGAGAGAACCAATGGGAATGTAGTCACATGGCTAAGCAACTAGGGGTGACACATGACACTGCAGAGTTTAGTGCACTTTCACCTGCTCTGAAGTGAATGACAAAGCTGAGCGCTTAACCTTACAATAACAACAAGCTCCAGCAGCTTTAATAGGACCTTTATCCACAGTGACACACGAGCTCTGGAAAGTCAAAGCCTTTGTACAAATTCTTTTATATCCTTTTTCCACCTATACCTACATACTTTGCTTGCTGTTAAATAACTTAATTTGTCCTTTAACAGCAGTGCACGCTGGCGTAGCACATTTCCTCTGTTCACCGGGAGGAACCTCAACCTGGTGACCTAAATGGCTTTGTTTCAGGTCCACGTCTGACACGACACAGCCAGGGTTGCCATGAGGTGGCCACTTTCCTGAGCTGCCCATGGCGCCTGCTGGGGTACTCTGCTGGTTTAAAGACAAGTGGTGTGGCCTGGTAATGAAAGCTGTTTGTATGGGGCTGGGGAGCACAAAGAGAGGCTCAGTGGGTCAGGCAGATGGCCAAGGCTGGGCCAGTTGAGCAGTTTATCCGCCAAACACAACCTTTCCTTCGGCAGGGCCCTGACACTTGCATGAAAGGGGGGGTCATGGGTAAAGCTACAATGAATGCACACTTGAGCGAGAAAGTGGAAAACTACATAGACGGAGACGTACTCGAGAATTCAAAGGCTCATTACAGCCAGACTGTAAACTATGTCATAATCTAGACAGAATTTGAAATTCATAACAGCCACCTCAGATGACAACAGCAGCTATCAATCTGGAATACAAAAAGCAACAATATTCAAGCTTTGGATGTGGAGTGTCTGGGTTCTCCAAAGAACCTCATTAGTCAGCCTGTCACTGTATAATGCTGCCGTTCAAGTGCAGAGTGTCTGCATCGCTCTGCAAGACTTCATTGATTAGAGGTCACTGAGGCAGAAACTTGCTCTGTTTGCCAAAGTTACATTCTGTGATCCATTAAGAATGAAGAGACTCCTGCACAACAATTGAGTCCAATATAAGAAGGAGAAATAACTTCGACACAGACAAGTCAGTTGTATGTATGCATAAACCTGTCTCTCTCAGAGGGACTACAACCTAACCACCTATACCCGAGTCCGACTGCACGACTGTTTAACATGGTCATCCCACATACACTGCACCTACTGGATGGTGTCATTTGTATTTATTACAAAACACAAGACCCTGACATCTGTTAAAAATGTTGCCCCAAACAGCCATTATTTTTTTTATTTTTTTTACTGCATCTGAAGTTAGCAAGAGTCAACTGCGCATGTGTGAGGTCCTAATGAAGAGCCATGTCACACAGAGCAGCGGTGTGTTTCACAGAGGTTTTTCAACAGCAACGGGGGCCTATGGCACAGACGAATCAGTTAATCCAGGTTGTATGTCGACTGACAGACATCAACTGTAAATAGAGGCAGTTCACTCTTGGCTTTAGTCTCTGTATGGGAATTGTTAATCTATTACTATAGAAAATGGCAGACCTTATCCTTTAACATTTAAGGAAAAGAGGGGTTATGTTGTACAGCAGCAGTCACATGAGTGTGGCTGTTGTTCAGGCCATCATCTACTAGCCAAACTGATCACGAGATGTATCAGGATCTGTCTAACTACTGCAGCTTAAAGTAAATAGAGGCAGTTCACTCTAAGATTTTTCATGGAAAAATCCCTGCAATATGGGTATATTACAAAAAGGCATAGTCTAGTGTGATCAGGACTTCACAGCAAAACAACTCCTTATCTGCTCCATGCAGTGATAACCCCTCTAACACATTACAGGTTGTATGTAGGAATCTGACCCATTTAAAAAGAGAACTTTACTGCCCAACAGTTATGAGCTACTACCCATCGTATTTGATTTACTAACCTGCCACCCAGTTGCTGGCTTGCTATTTTCCCCACAGAGGTCGCTATATCATCATCATAATAATAATAATAATCTCACTCTGGCTCAGTCACAATAATACCTACAAGAAGATCAGAGGTCGAGGCAGCACACATTCTCATGAATGACACGTTTTTAAAAGTGAAAGACAATGTATACATAAGCTAACCTTTCCGCATTGTCACAGAGAACAGGAGGAAGCCAAGTCAGTTAAAGGTCAAAGGCATCTCATGTGTACATGGGGAATTTCCCAAACCTCCCCAACCTGGGCTGTACTACACAGTACAAAAGCACATTGAGGTTTGAAAAAAAGCACTGCAAAATGAATGAGACAGTGTGTCACTGTCACTGCCTCCTGCTATCTGAAGGCATGGTTGTTTCCATGGCGGCGACTTCTTGGCAGCAGTGTGCTAATGATGATGAGGACTGCTCGCAGTCTCCAGGATGGGTTTTTTGGGATGGGTGCAGCAGGAGTTTTCGGAGCTTCTACCCGGGGGCAGGGTGGGGTCAGAGGAATCCACAGGGGGAGACAGTGAAGTAGATTTAAACCCCAGCTACAGGTTGTACCATAACAAGGAAATTCAGTCTTAATCAAAATTATCAGGAGAACAGAAGTAGATTTAGATACAACCAGCATATGAATGTGAGTAGGACACATGAAACATCACAAACTGACCAGTGAAACCCCAAACTCCAAGGTAACACTGTAACATACAGTATGTAAAATCAAAATTAAAACAGAAAAGTGATCTGTAAATCATCTGCATCCTATATTACATTGAAAACAATATAGCAGCACATTATTTGATGTGATGCCTCATCAATCTTATTCTTTGCTCAAAACAGATAAAAACTCAAATATAATGGAGTGAATTCAGTAAATAAGACCATGCACATTTTCACAGTGATGCTTTCATCTACACAAGTGATTTTTTGCACCTCTCTCAAGGAGCACTGCTGACCCCCACAAAAAAAAGAACATTTGTAGTAGGTAGGTAGGACTTTATTGATCCCACATTGGGGAAATTCTGTTTGTGGATACGATCAATCGTCAAAACACAACAAGCTACAATCCATTGCAAATCCCAGCATGACTGTGAGCATATCTGCTTCTCTGAAAAAAACAGAACTGAGATGTTATGGAAAACGTACAACTTGGTTCTGGTTTTAATGTCATTAATCTTTATGGAAATTATTAAAATACAGTTTATCAGTCTCATATCTTGAGTCATGAAACCATGTTATTCAAATGTTTAAAGACATTTCTGTCATATGGCACTTAATTTTGTTTGTATTGTAGCAAACACATATACATTGTCTTAGTTTCCTTTTGCTATACTTTTGTTATATTTTAACTTTTTTTATGATGTGCTCTTGATAATATTATTAAATAAAGATATAATTAACATGCCACCACTGAGCAACTTGAAAGCCCTGCACTGTGCGTGGGCACCTTGAAATGAAAGAGTAGATGTAACAGCTACCTTTTCAGGAAAGTGCCTTTTCAAGAAGAAGTGAATGAATGAATAGAGAGCAAACACTGCAAGTGTTATAAATACATCCACAGTGAGCAGGACTTCATTAGTGCCATAGTATGACTGATGCTGTTTAGAAAGCAAAATACTTTAATGGTCCAATCAATGATTTTTTTTGACAATATTAAAGTTGGCCTCTTCACACACACACAAAATCAATCCTTTATTTTTCTTTGTTCAAGTTTAAAAAGGAGCTCTTCTGTACCGTTACGGGGGTAGAAATGACATAAAAATGATCCGGTAAAACACTGAAGAAATGTCCACACACCATAAGATGCCCTGGCTTGTCTGACTGGCACAGCTTACTATTGTAACCACATCACGGTGGTTACTGTGGTCACTGTGACGGCCTCGCTTGTTCCTGCAACTGGTTTAACAGCCATTTACCAGAGCAACACCAGACCTTTTTCAATTGCTCCACAATGTGCGATGTGGGTGGCAATTCAGAGGTCTGGAAATGGGCTAATAGACTGTGCCTTTAAGCACATGGTGGACTACCTGTAATGTAAACAGGGTCACTGGTAGTGACAGACCTACAGTGAATAACCATCACCCAACTCAGCACCATTAGCACCATCTATGTATATGAGAAAACAAAATGCATGCAACTTCAACAATTAATGAAATCAGCAATTAGGGAAAACTGCAAAACTAGAGATAAAAACAAATATAGAAGACAATAACTGATTCCTCTGCCTTGTAGTTTATCCCATTTGATCCTCAGCTGCATTGACAGCCTCCTCTAATAAATTATAGATGCTCTGTACCCAAGATTTACATTCAGTTAGGAACAATTCAGCTGACACAACACTCTGGTTGCATTACATCCTATTCAGGACAAGTATAGCATCACTTCCCCTTTCTGTACCCATGTGCAAGTACAAAGATCAGATGACTGAATGTTAAGAGGCTTGAAATGACCGATTTCTTACCTGCAGTTTGTCCTCTGGAACATGGAGCCAGTGGTTAAATGCTTGGGCAAGTTTTGTCCTCACCTGTTTTCCTGATGATGGAAAAAAAAAAAAAAAAAGAGCTCAGTTATTTTGATAGTCAGCAAGATTAGCACTGTTGAACGCAAATGAAAAGAAAAACAAGAAATGCACATGTGGATGAGGACTATAGTAATACAGCCAGTGGATGGTAGCTACATATTACTAGAGAAGCCAAGCTTTAAAGGAGAATTACATCGTTTTAGAACTTGTTTGTCGATACAACTACAGGGAAGCATGACACTGCTGTCATGTTCACTGTTGTAGACCTAAAGCACTCTGTGAGAAACAGCTTTATAACCGTGTCCTATAAAACCTAAATAAACTACTAAAAAAAAAAAAATTAAGGGGACACTTAATCATCACAGTATAACACCAAATTGGTTAAACGTCATGGATATCAATCTGTCCAGAGGTCATGTTAGACTTTATCGTTGTCTGTCATTTTGACAGACAGGGTCATAATTTATTGTTACCTGTCAATTTACTATTTGGATGGGTGGTGGGAAGAAAAAAAAAAAAAAAAAAAAAAAAAAAAAAAAAAAAAAAAAAAAAAAAAAGCCCCATGTATCAAATGTGATACAAAAGAAATAGAAATAATCAAAATAATATGGCACCTCTATTCTATTCTATATGCCTGGACTGTCTATGCATATATGGCAAATAAAAATCGTGAATCTTGAATTTCGAATCATGAATTTTATTTTGGATTTTGTTAAAAGGTTTAATAAACATCTCAGTTCCAAAAAATTAGAATGTTCTGGCTATTTTTTGATATGTTGGTCTTTACAGGGTTAATAGTATTTAATTTTCATTGTAATTTTTAGTAATTAATATACAGAACAAGCTAATGTGCAGCCACTTTTCATGTCAACATGACGTTTTTCCCCCCACAGTGACAGCAGAGGCCACTAAAAACACTGCAGCCATTGTGCATAAACAAGCTAAAATGAACTCTGCAATTTTACAAAATTAGACAACTACCATAAAAATATGAACAACCCATGTGCACGGAGTTTGGCTAACTGTATTGAACTCAGCTGACTTGCGCCGGAGAGTGGACTTGCTAGCTCCACTTCAGCCAAAGTTTTGAAGTCGGGGAGCATTTCTCTGGGGACGTTGCTCTGAACGTGAGACTTCCCGATCCTCAGACAGAAGGAACCTGCAGCATGTGCTCCTTCTGCATCACAGGCGCAGCTGCACCCATCTGTGATGTGTCATAGATGCACTCCGTGGCCTCCAGTCCATGGCTGTTCAGCACATCATCAGCTCCCCAATAACAAGATGCATTGAGTATGGTCTCAGTTCTTCATCCACCACATCAGTTCCTCTTTTTTTCCACCTTGTTTACCAGTGATATAGCAATTACTCAAATTTTTAGTAGCCTTACTCTAAGTTGGGTTCAGGTAAATTGCCCTCTCTTTTCATATTGGTCAAAATGGCAGACGGCCTTCAGATTTTTCATCATTATAAAAAAAAAAGTCTGTCAAAGATGGAATTATAATCAGTTAACATACAGTGGGTACGGAAAGTATTCAGACTCCCTTAAATTTTTCACTCTGTTATATTGCAGCCATATGCTAAAATCATTTAAGTTCTTTTTCCTCATTAATGTACACACAGCACCCCATATTGACAGAAAAACACAGAATTTTTGACATTTTTGCAGATTTATTAAAGAAAAACTGAAATATCACATGGTCATAGATATTCAGACCCTTTGCTGTGACACTCATATATTTAACTTGGGTGCTGTCCATTTCTTCTGATCATCCCTGAGATGGTTCTACACCTTCATTTGAGTCCAGCTGTGTTTGATTATACTGATTGGACGTGATTAGGAAAGCCACACACCTGTCTATACAGGTATGTGCCAAAAAATTAGAATATCAAGGAAAAGTCCATTTATTTCAATAATTTGTTTCAAAAAGTGAAACTTGTATGTTATATTAGTTCACTGCACACAAAGTGAAATATTTCAAGCCTTTATTTGTTTCAATTTTGATGATTATGGATTAAA